GAAGGCACTGCCTGGATTGTGGAGTGCCTCAAGGGGCAGTGCTTTCCCTGATGCTTTTTAACATCTATATGCACCCCCTTGCCCAGATTGCCCAGAGGCATGGGCTGGGATGTCACCAGTATGCCGATGACACCCACCTCTATCTGATGTTGGGCGGCCAGTCTGACTCCAGACCTGAAGATCCGGACTGGGTGTTACAGGCCATGGCTGGTTGGCTTAGACTAAGCCAACTGAAATTGAATCTGATGAAGACGGAGGTCCTGTGCCTGAGCCAAGCGGCTCGGTGGTAGGGATCCCACTCCCGACCTTCAATGAGGCATCTCTGATGCCAGCATCAGAGGTTAGGAGCTTGGGAGTGCTCTTGGATGCCTCCTTAACCATGGAGGCCAAGGTAGCAGCCACTGCCAAGTTAGCCTTTTACCATTTTTGGCTGATCAGGCAGTTGGTTCCCCTCCTCGACCGCAATGACTTGGCAACAGTGATCCATGCGATGGTCACCTCGAGACTAGACTACTGTAACACTCTCTACATGGGGCTGCCCTTGTCGCAAATTTGGAAGCTGCAGCTAGTGCAAAATGCCGTGGCCAGGTTTCTGATGGGCCTCCCCATGCGGGAGCACATCCAGCCTATGCTGAAGACATTGCACTGGCTACTGATAGCATACTGAATTCACTTCAAGGTGCTGGTTCTCAGCTTTAAAGCCTTATATGGCCAGGGCCTGACATACCTGAGGGACCACCTTTCCCCATATATACCCCAGGGAGCACTACGGTTGGGGTCTCAAAATCGACTGGCCCTCCCGGGTCCCAAGGATGCCAGGCTGGTTACTATCAGGGCCAGGGCCTTCTCAGTAGCGGCTCCACACTGGTGGAATGAGCTCCCAGAAGAGATCAGGGCCCTGCGGGATCTTTTACAATTCTGCAGAGCCTGGAAGATGAGCTCTTCCACTAGGCCTTTAACTAAGGAGCCACCATCACCATCAACATTCCTAATTATAGAGCCCTGGCCTTGGCTCTGACATCCACAGCCTGTGCCGCCGCTCATATCAGCATGCACTCATACAGTACGCCGTTGCTAAGAAATTAATTAATCATCGCTAGCACCTTATGATATTGAATTGCTTTATAATTGAACTAGCAGTAAATCTCGTTGTAAAAGGAATACAATGAGCTCTAGAAAGATGTGATGTGTAACGAATGCATTGGCTGGAAGCAGATTAAGTGCATATTAACAGTATGTAATAGAAAGGCTCAAATGTGAAAGTAAAGTCTCACATACCTTACGTTACACAATAACTGGTGTCCAAGGTCACACAATGTGGGCCAGAAAATGGAGCACACAGGGCTTTATGGAGTAATTTCTAAAACTGGGCAGTCTGCAAAGTCATTTTATGTTGGATGTCCCTGTCATTCAATGTGGTCATGGTCTCACTGTCCACCCTGTTATAGAACAGGTCTCAAGGGAAGTTGGGTTGAAAGTGAATGGTTGTGACGAAAGCCCCAGTAGGTTATGCCAGAATGATGAAGTGGAGTATGGGCATATGAGTGTTGTGAAACCTCTATAGTTTTCAGTGTGAAAAGACATCCTCTGGCCCAACTGTTCCCTAATTTTTCCTTTTTTTGTACACTTACCTGGCTTTGTCACATGTAGTGTGTGTCTTCTGACTTCTTACTTTGTCTTGTCTGATCTATTAGGTTTTCTCTTTTTGGTAAACAAATTTTATTTTCTTAGGAATTCAACATTTATAATTAAATCATTTCATCTTTTCCATTGTCTACCCCATTCCCATTTCCTCCCCTCCCTCCGGTGGCTTCCCGCAATGCTTCCCCCCCTACTCCACGTTACTTTACATCATCAATTATATCATTTTCTTATCATTACAATCTCAAGATAACATCATTTGACTTAATATTGATCTAAACATATTAAGTTTTGTTTCACATCCCAATTCTTTTCCAGATATGTTTTAAAGTCACTCCATTCTTGAAAAAACACGTCATCTTCTTTATTATTCAACTTCTTCGTAATTTTGTCCATCTCTGCCATGAACAGAACTTTTTGTATCC